GTTAACATTTTGAAGTTTTAAGCAATGTACAGACAGACATCTGATTTTATTATTAAGGATTAATAAAAGTTGTTATAAGAAATTATTTGTCTTTAATTTAGAAATGTTATAGATGATTCTTGGTATTGTAACAACCGACATTTATAGATATCAATCATGGCCTTTTTAAACTAGATAATATAGCTTTGATTTAATCGTTTGACCAAACAAATTGGAGTTAAACTCTAATCACAGTAACTGTTTTTATCAAAATTGTAACAACCGCACCTAGTCTCCCCTACTACTTTTCTGAACGAATCCACGCCCATATGTCGCTCTTTGAAAACAATAGAAATCACTCTTTTATTTATTTAAGGCAAATTTTCTTTAAAAGAAACCGAGGAGGAAAGTGACAGAGGAGGAAAGTAACGACGCTTATATCTTTTAAGGTGGTTAGTTCAAAATCAATGATAATAGAGAATTACTTGAAAACTTCAAAAAAATGAATTAACATATTAATGCACATTATTGTTGAATCTGAGATTTTTTTATTGTAAGGTTCTCGAGATATTGTCGTCCAAAATTTAGTATTTTTCTCAATGTTTGCATTGATCTAATGGACGCCGCGAACGAAAAACTGACTATTTGATATATATCACTTTATAACTTTTGATGCACAATAAAGATTCATCTCAAAATTAAAACAAAACTAATTTAATATTCAAAGATCAGAATACTTAAAACACTGTACAATTTATCGTTTAGTTACAGAGTATTTTAATTCCAAAAATTATAGTTAAATAAAAATTTTTTGTCATTTCGTTTGACATAGAGAATGTGGCAACGTCGCAACTGCCGCGGAGAAAATAGAGTAGCGCGAAAATTCAAACCAATTCAAGTATTTAGGAAATTTGCTTTATTCATCTTTGTCCAAAAAAATTAATGAATAAATTTTCGTAATATTTATTTACTTATTTACTTTTTTGAAACAATTCATGAACTTTTCTTTTAATTGGAAGTAAACTACGTATAAATTAAATACTAAATTGATATTACCTGGAAAAATAAAATTTTAATTTCAAATTAAATTATTATTATTATTATTACTGTCATTATTAAATAAATATTATTTTAAATTATTTAAGGGCATCCGGGAAAAATCGCCTCCCAAAAGTGTTTTCCCGTGTGTCGTCTCACTCCTAAATAATTAGAGATATTTAGTTCCGATTTTGATTTATCATGATAATTAGGGGAATTCATGATGATAAAGAATATTCTCGAAAATTGCAAGTAATTTTTGAAATAAATATTGTAAAACGAAATTAGAAAAGTTAGATTTTTGTCGAAAGTGAGAGACAATATGGCGGCGAGCACACAGACAAGTGGATCTATGTGTCAGTGGTCGCGACTTGAACTAAGAAAATGTATTAATCTCAAATTACTCCACTTTCAATCGTTAATAAAATAATTTCTTTGCAAAATTATTGCAAAAACGGAGAGGGCCGCTCCTCGCGGAGAGTCTTCCTCTATCACCTTTACGAAAATAAAATCAAGTTTACAAATTAGCATCAGCTGTACCTGCGAACATGCAGTGACTGCATTGTTGCCACGTCTCTAACTACAAAACACAACGTTCTTCAAAACATTACTATTTTTTATTTAATTTTCTATTATTTACAAATTTATACATCGTAACTTAAAGAATAATATTTAAAAATGTCATTTTTTATTTTATATCATGATATTTATTTCTTTTTTGAACTTTTAGAAAAAAAAAATTTACTTTTGACTAGCCTCCTGAAACTAAACACCTTAAACAAATTAGCCGATGTACAAAGTTGTAATTTTTTTTAGACTACAACTTCTCCATAGTGTGCAAGAGCATTTCCGGTTAGGTTAGGTTCGCTAGTGATATAACGTAACAAAAATACGTCAAAAGTTATAGTTTTCGTTTAAATTTTCGAAACCTCATATTTTTTAATTACACAGTTTTATAAAATGTGCTTTTCGTCTTTTTGTAGCTTAGTTATCTGTCTTTAAGTTGTAATAGTGTATTTTTAAATTACGTGTAATACTTTTCTGTAATTTTAACTTTTTTGTTGAAAAAGAGAACGAGGAGGAAATTAACACCTTGTTACTTTCCTTCTCGTTTCAATATTGTGCATACTTTATGAAATGAGTGAAGTAAATCTTATTTAAAGTTACAGATTAAATTTTGTTCGATAAAAATAATTAATTATAAGTAAATTGACTTTCGTTTTGACATATTAACATAATTTAAAAATGGTTTATTGAACCAGGCAAAATTTTTATTCTTCGTTCAAATTTTTGTTTTGTTTTATGTTTGTCACAATTGTTAATTTTTGCTTTTAAACTTTAGATAAAGTTATTTTCATGTTTAAAAGATTAACGTTTTATTTTTTATTTTGTTTAATGCCAAAAACATGAATCATAAAAAATTTGGCAACTTTTCTAGAGGCAGAAAAAGAGACCTATATCTTTAATGATTTGTTTTCAGAAAATGAAAAATGGAATAGAAAATAAAATGGATTTCTTTGTGGAAGGTTTATTAACCCCTTCGCAGTCAACAACAAAATATCATAAATGGACTCAAAATGTCGATAACTTTTTAGAACACTAAAATTTGCGCAATCGAGCATACTATTGTATTTGAAGTCACTGATTACGAATCAGAAATCAGATTTTGAAAATTCAAAATGGCAGATCCAATATGGCGGACTTGAAAATTAAAAATTGACTGAATTCACTTGAAACTTGTTACTCACGGGTTTTCGGGGTCGCTGATTACGAATCCGATATCAGATTTTGAAAATTCAAAATGGCGGATCCAATATGGCGGACACCAGTTTCTAAAATTCATCGGATTCACTTGAAACTTTTTACTCGGGGGTTTTCGGGGTCGATGATTACGAATCCGATTTCAAATTTTGAAAATTCAAAATAGCGGATCCAATATGGCGAATGAGATTTTATAAAATTCATCGGATTCATTTGAAACTCGTTACTAGAGGGTTTTCGCTGATTACGAAAAACTTTTGAAACTATAATAAATACAAAATTTTCCCCCGCAGTGAGCTGTTAAGTATACTACGTTACTTACGACCCCAGAGTTTACCAACTGGAGATATGCGGTCGGATTTTACACTCCTTTATTTATTTTGTTTTTTTAATATTTTTTTGTTTGTTCTTATATTGGATCCACAATTTCAATACCGATATTACATTTTTAATCTACGACATCAATAAATCCCAAGTAACAACTTTTAAGTAAATCTAATAAATTTTTTAAAATGGCGCCAAGCATATTCGGACCGCCACATTGTATTTTAAAAATTTGATGCTAGATTCGTAATCAGCGACCCCAAAAACCGCAGAGTGACGAGTTTTAAATGAATCGGACGAGTTTTTAAAAATGTCGTACGCTATATTGCATCCGCCATTTTGAATTTTTAAAATCTGAAATTGGATTCCTAATCAGCGATCCTAAAAACCCCCGAGTAACGAGTTTTAAATGAATAGGACGAGTTTTTGAAAATGTCGTCCGCTATATTGGATCCGCCATTTTGAATTTTTAAAATCTGAAATCGGATTCGTAATCAGCGACCCTGAAATCCCCCGAGTAAAAAGTTTCAAGTGAATCCGATGAATTTTAGAAAATGCCGTCCGCCATATTGGATCTGCCATTTTGAATTTTCAAAATCTGATATCAGATTTGTAATCAGCGACCCTGAAAACCCCTGAGTAACAAGTTTCAAGTGAGTCCGATGAATTTTTGAAAATGTCCGCCATATTGGATCCGTCATTTTGAATTTTCAAAATCTGATATCGGATTCGTAATCAGCGACCCCTAAAACCCCTGAGTAACAAGTTTCAAGTGATTCCGATGAATTTTTGAAAATGTCGTCCGCCATATTGGATCCGCCATTTTGAATTTTTAAAATCTGAAAACGGATTCGTAATCAGCGACCCCGAAAACCCCAGAGTATCAATTTGTGAACAAATCTGTGTGTTTTTGTAGCCAAAAATCTGCTTGCGTCTATACACGTCATCGACAGTTTGAGCCCACCTGCACCATGACGTGTATACACGTCATCGACTGCCAAGGGGTTAAATACTTACTGAAGTATGAAAAAAAGAACTTTTTGTTTTCATTATATAACAAAATGGCGGCAGGTAAATTTTTATGTTCAAAATCGACTATTTTTTTACGGCCAGAATAGTTTTATAAAAGTAAGTCCTAGAACAAAAAACACAGAAAGTTTATAATCTGTATACTATAAAGTATAAACTTTGGAAGTACATATAGATTTTTCAATTTGATGTAAGCTTTATATTTTATATAGAATTTGCTGTTTATTTTTTGGCAAAAAATTGATTATTTTACTCAAAAAGTGCGCCATTTTTACAAGAATTGATATAATAAAATCCCATATGTACTACCAAAGTTTATATTATAGAGATCATGAAATTTCTTTGCTTTCTGTTGCAGGGCTTAACCTTTTTAAAAAAATTGTCCACCTATTTTGGTCATAAAAAATAGTCGATTTTGACTATGAAATTTATCGCCACCATTTTGTTATAAAATTTTTTTTCTACATTTCAATAAGTATTTAACAAACCCTCCAAAAAGAAATCCTATTCCTTTTTCATGTTCCCAAAACAAATTATCAAAAATTAGTCTCTATTTCTACCTCTAGAGTGGTGTTACCCCTTAAGTGGTGAAAGCTATTATTTTATTATTAATTATTATTAATTTAACTTAAACTAAAGACTTAGTATTTTTGTTACACATTTTAATAATTTAATATTGCACGTACCTACGATAACTTTTGAAATTAGATGCTTTATCTATGATATGGATAAGAAGATAATATCTATGAGACACTAATGTACCAAAATGTGTTAAATATGTATTAAATTTGTGCCAAATGTGTACAATTTGTACTTTAATTAGCTTTGTGTTTTTCTAAGTTGATAATTAAAATATTTTCAATTAATAATAGTCTTCAAATTGTAATTTTAACCATAATTCTATAATGTTGCTTTCCTCCTAGGTGCTGTTACTTTCCTCCTCGGGGGTTAGGAGGAAAGTAACAAATGCAGAGGTCATGGAAATGTCATGCTGTGAACTGGTTATTTAATCTAAATGTCTAATTCAAATTTTATTTAACTGGTGAATGTCCAAACTTTCAACTAAGGTATTAACAAAAATTATTCGTTAAATAGTTTGAACGCTACAATGAAGTTATCAATACGAAAACTGCGTATTGTCAACAAACACGACTTGCAATACTCAGATCAGTATTGTGACAACCCATTCAAGAATTATTTTTAATATTATTTATTATTTAACGCGGGTAGGACTTGAAAAACAAGGGCAGCTACGAAGAAGTACGCAAAATTTGTAAATATTGTCGTATTTACTTTTGAAATACGCTGGAAATCTCGTTTTGTAGCACTTTAGGCTATAGTAGAAACAAGAATTTCAATTAAAAATTTTCACACATGATAGTCGAGAAAAAAGATTCTTACAAAAAATATTTAAAAATTTCATGTAATAAATAGAAAAGAAAAAGCGGTAAGCAGTTTTACAGTTCTAATTTCTTTTTAAGCGAAAGTATAAACATAATTAGAGTAATTTGTTCTAATCAAAATGTAAAAATAACTAAAAAAGGTTGTTTTTACCAGCGAAGTACAAAAATAATTGAAAAAAATTGTTTTACAAGCGAAATACGAAAGTAAATAATTATTTTCAAGCGAACTATAATGCGAAGCGAAGAAAAAAAAATAGGCAGAAAGCGATAAGCGATGGGAACAATTTTGTATAGTTTTAAATTATGCAAAATAGAAATAACGATAATTGATTTGAATAATTTATTTTGATCTATTTTGTAGAGTGAGATTGGTGCGAGCGAAAGCAGTGAGAGATCAGGGAAAATTGAGCATGCTTGATTTGATAGAATTTATTATAATAAATAAAATTTATAAAGTAAAATTAAGCATTGTCAAATAGCAATAAGTTAAGGAAATCTGGTTGGTTTCTTTAATAATATGACATTTAGCGCGAGAGAATAATTCGAAAAAAGATTGAATTATTTTCGAGAATAGCAGCTGACTGCTGTTCATGTGCGTAAAGGCATAAGGTTGTGTGAGTGTCAAGGCAGAGAGTGGTCTTGGCGTGACGTCACAATGGCGGCACATGTAAGAGAACTCTCGACGAAGCACGCACAAAGAAACGAATTTAGAAAAATTTGCTAAATTACACGTTGGGCGCCAAAAATGTGACAACCCATTCAAGAATTATTTTTAATATTATTTATTATTTAACGCGGGTAGGACTTGAACGGAATTGAAACAATATACCAACCAAAATGTCCTCGAACTTGGAAATTTTCCTTCTTTAGTTTCTCCAACGAGGCAAGCCAAGCAAAGTGAGAAATCGAACAAACTTACCAATATTTCCGTTAGAATAAACACTGCAACAACGTCGAGTAGTTATATCCAAATGAAAATGAAACGAGACACACAATTCACAATTTAGTTATAACAATTTATTAGTGATATAAGAACGAAGCGCAAAGACTTGTAAATACAATAAGTTTTACAATAATTTCGTGTGCCGTTCGCACCGGTTCGCACCAATCTGATTAGCATTCCGCCGCAAAAGCAACACGTGCTTGTGTCCCACCTGGTACTTGGCCTGTATAATAGACGATTTGAAGTTATGGACTATATATTACAAAATGACTGAAAATCAAAGTAAAATAAAAATAAAAATTGGAAATAAAGAAGGAAAAAAATTGAGATCATGTTTAACCAACTTCTCACTGCTCGTCTTATTTTAATAGAAGGCGCATTTGGTTTTAACTTAACGTAACAGTCTTTTCGTAGTTATTTAATACTCATTAAGTTAACTATAAAAACAAGATTATTTAAGTCAACGTAACAATGGTAAATATTCGAATATGAAAATAATTAGCGCAACGGCGCTAAACTATAAGTTAGTAAAAATGTAAGTTTTAACGAACTTGAAAGCGCGTAAGGCTCTTGAACTAAAAATAATTTAAAGAGAATTATGCCAAAAGGGCACGTTGAGTAGAGATGCGATTTTTCTTTATCGAGGTATAGACTAATAGACTTAGTCTTGTTCTTCATCTTTTTCGATGTTGAGCTTGTGGACTTGAGCCAGGCTTTCCCAGAGGATAGCGTTCATAGCATCGGAGTCGTATGGTGAAAGTTTTTTGATCGTATCTACTTCGACATGAGGAGCCCCAACAGTGGGAGGGCTACAGGCTGGAGAATCTTGGTCTTGAGGGCAGTCGGCTTCCGGGATTACTGGATTTTGGTTTTGCGCTGATATACGGAGAGTATGCTGTACTTCTAGTTCTAGGGCAAGTTTATTACGATCGATAAGAGCTGATTCGATCATTCGTTTGCGACAAGTATGGCAGTTTACGTCGGGGAGATTAAGTGGTCTCCAACAACATTTGCAACGTAGGCGCTCGGGTAGTTGATGTGGCCACTCGGAGTAGTGCGGCCAAGGGCATTCCTTCGTGGAGAAATCCGGGTGCGCGCAAATCTGGCAAAATTTCCCAGAGTATTTCGCTTGACAAGAGCGAAAGCTGTGTCCTATTTTTCCGCAGTTCAGACAACCGTCCGAGGCCTTTGGTCGGAGTTTGGCTTCGCGTAATTCCACGTGAGCACGGTAGACCTCTTGGATCCTCTCTTTGAACAGTTTCTTTAAACGGAAATGTTTTTCTTCAAGATAGTTGTAATCTTCTAGAAGGTCCTTGTAGTCTATTTCGTATGAACTGTAGTCTACTTTGAGTTTCGAGAGTTCGTCGTTTGAAGCAGATAGTTGTTTCTCTAATTCGCGCTGTTCGTCTTGTAGTCGGATTATGGTGCGATATTGTTCAACTATTTCTTGGTTATCGTTGATACGAATTGGGTTAGCTTCCTTGCGCAAGTCATCTATGATCTTATTGGCTTCAATCAATCGCGCTTCTAAGGTTTCTCGTTCGGTGAGGATAACATCGTAGGCTGATTTAGTAAGTGCGATCAACCCTGTGGGAAATGCGTCGAATTTCACCTTGCTTCCAATTTCGCGCTGATCCTCTAAGGTTGGCGATGGCTGTAAGGCCACAATCTCTGGTATTATGCTGGCAGTAGGCTCGTTGTTGTTAGCGCGGGAATCAGCTGGTGTCGTGTTGTTAAGCGCGATGTCCTCCATCTTGATGACGTAACCTGAAAACGATTTACAAGTTGGAGCGCGATCTAAGACCTTTTCTAGCTGGTTTTAAGTCATTTACATGATATTTTCCTAGCTTTTTGCCATGCAAATCGCAGATGACAACTATCATGGGTGACAATTTTTCCGCGATTGTTGCTGGACCTTTGTAACGTGGTGCTAGTGGCTAGTTTGGAACTATAGCCACGTACAGCACTTGATAAAGTATTATTGGGATAGAATACGAGATCTCCAGGTTGGAAATTAATGTCATTCTTCCGATTTTTGTTATAAGCTTTACCTTGTTTCTTGCTAGCTTTAATCATGAACTGTTCAACTTTTGCGCGAAGTGCATCTATATGTTTTAAACGATCTAACCAAGTGGCGATTGTTTCGTCTGTAGTAGTGTTAGTATTTGTGTCGCGTGGGGGTTCACCTGTTCGTCTTGGTCCACGAGCGAAATTCAAAAAGGCTGGTGTGACTCCAAGAGAAGTGTGAACTGTGGTGTTATAAGCGAACTGAATATCCTCGAGAAGAATATCCCATTCGCGTTGGTTCTCGCCGAAAAGACTCGCTAACATTGTTTTTAGATTATGATTCACGCGCTCGACAGGGTTGGCCTGAGGATGATACACGGGTGTAGTCCGTTGTACTGAACCGATTTTTTGAAGAAACGATGTGACATTGCGATTGACGATCTCGGTACCGTTGTCGGTGATGACAATTCTTGGCGCTCCCCAGCGGTTGACAAGGGTGTTTAAGGATTTTACAATCTTTGGACCGTCTGCTTTGGATAGCGCGAAGCAGTCTATGTAACGAGTATATGTGTCTTCGCAAACTAATATGTAGCTTTTACCAGATTTCGACCGAGGTAGGGGACCTACTATATCGAGTGACACTGTTTCCCAGGGTTCCGTAATTTTGCGCGGATAGATTAAGCCTTGTGGGGGTGTATTTTTTGGTTTACACTTGAGGCAAGTCTCGCATTCATTAACGTAACGCTTGATGTCTTCGCGCATACCGGGCCAATAAAAATTATTAATTATCGAAAGATAAGTTTTATTGATGCTTTGGTGTGCGGATTGAGTAGTGCAATGATGCTCGGTAATAATTGGTAAAATTTCGTTTTCTTTAAAGATCTTTTTCCAGGCGTTATTATCGCCGATAGTTTCTTTAACCATGTTTGGTTTATAATAGTATAGTTGATTGTTCGAATCAACTTTATATCTTTCGTAGCGCGAGGGATCTTTACGAACTTTTTCTAACATCTGGTCGTACCAACTTTGACTTTTAACAGAGTTCAATTCGGTAACGTGCGTGTCGTTATTATCGTCTTCGTAAAGTCGCGAAAGCGTATCCGGCGCTTCATTAGTTGTACCTTTTCTGTGCTCGATCTTAACACTGTTTGCGGAAAGCTCGAGAGCCCATCGCGCAAGTCTACCTTTTGGGTCTTTGAGACCTTGCAACCAAATTAAACTGGAATGATCCGTTATTACAGTAAATTCAGCGCATTCGAGGTAGCAGCGGAGCTTTTTAATAGCAAAAATTACAGCCAAGCATTTCTTTTCAGTGGTGGTGTAATTTAATTCAGCACCTCTTAAAGGTCTGCTTAGGCATGTGATTAAGTATTCTTTTTCTCCGTCTTGCTGTGTCAAGATAGCACCGATACCGGTGTCGCTTGCATCGGTATACAAGTAGAGGGGTAAACCGGGCCTAGGCGCGACTAAAGTCAAGGCGCTTTTTAAGGATTCCTTAACTTCGTTGAACGTGGCCTAGTGTTCTTCGGTCCAGTTCCAAGGTACCTTGGGACTCGCTAATTTATTTAGCGGTCCTTGCACTTTTGCAATATTGCGCAAGTGACGGTGATACCAGTTCACTGAGCCGTTAAACCGGCGCAACTCTTTTCGGTTACGAGGAGTTGCTCGTTCGAGGATTGGTTCGACTCGCTTAGCGTTTGGTTTTAAACCATCTTTGTCTAGGATGAAACCTAAATATTCTACTGACGATTTCGCGAAATAGGATTTATCGCGATTGATAGACAATCCTGCTTCCTGTAGAATGGTAAGGACTACATCGAGAAGCAGAATATGTTCTTCGAATGTTTTGGATATTATTATCCAATCGTCGAGATACGCGTGAACTTGTTCGCAGTAATGTTCGGGCAGATTTTTAGCGCGAATGTGTTCTACGAACTTTTCTTTCAGTCTATCGGTTAGAGCTTGGAAAGTTGCCGGCGCATTTGTGAGTCCGAAGGGCATTCTAACCCATTCAAACTGTCCACGACCAGGGACAACGAAGGCGGTGTTATTCTCGCGATTTCGGGTCAATTGGTATGTGGTGAAACGCGTCGGTTAAATCAATGGTGCTAATAATGTTAGCCTCAGATAGCGCATCAAGTATGGTGTCCATACGTGGCAAAAGGTATGCTGATTTCTTTGTGTTCTTATTCAACTTTCGGAAGTCCATGCATACTCTAGGCCTACCATCCTTACGATAAGTGAGCACCACTGGGCTAGCAAAACGTCCATTGCTCCTAACAATAAACTTTTTGTCTAGGTAAATGTTAATTTGATCGTTAATTATTTTGTTCGCTTCTAAGCTGCGGCGATAAGGTTTCAATTTAAATGGCGTTGGATCGGTAAGCTCTATAACGTGTGTCGTTAAATTAGTAACACCGGTTCCAGAGGTAAATTTCGATAATTTATCATCTAAAAACGCATTCAATTTATTCCTTTGTTCCGGAGATAATTCGATTAATTGAGCCGAATTTAGGAAGCTACGTGCATTGGAAATGGAGCCTAAAGGGTCACGAACCGAGGACCCTTTCATGGACCAATAACCTTGGCTTGCGTCAATAATAACTTGCCAACTAGTTATAAAGTCCATGCCTAAAATGACTGGTGTAGTTAGACCGTCGAGAACGGCAAACCATATTTCACCGTGGCAATTATCTATTTCGATATCGAATTTTACGGAATGGCGTGGTGCGGCTACGTGATCGCGTTGCGCGAGTTGTACGCCGGCGCGTGTTATCGCATCCTTAATCGGATCGCCGTTAGCTAAACTTTTGAGTTTGTCGAAAAGTTCTCCTGACATGAAAGTTCGGTCACTACCTGTGTCAAGAAGCGCTGTTATTCTTTCGTTACCGATTTTGATTACCGTGGAAATTGTACATCTTTCCTGAGGCGGCGAGGGCGATGCGTGCCCTTTGTGTACTCTGCGCTTAGTTTTATCAGTCAATACAAATAAATTGTTCGACTGATTAATCAGTGGCAACGATCTGAGTGAAGATATGCACGCGCCTATTGTGGGAGAGCAATCTTCCTCCGATTTAGAGTACTCAGTCTCCGATTCAGAATATAAGCAATCATCATAATCGCTTTCAGAATCACTAGTATAAATCCTACCTGCATGCGCTTTGTTTAGCGTTGATGCTATTTGAGGATTGTACGTTGATTCATTAGCGATAGGAATGCTTTCTGAATTTGAAGAAGTATCAGTTTCGTTTAAGTAGTTTATCGGTCGATTTTCGTTTTGTTTTGATAGGGTTTTGCCAGGGAGATCTAGTCTCTCCTGGCATCTCTGTCGTTTTTTGATTGCGAGTTATTATCGTGCGCGTTGTGGCCGAAATTTTGTGGATAATCGCGGTTGTAATTACCGTGCCATGGTGGCTGCGTTGGTTGCGGTGGAGGCGCGTGCGGGAGACAAGGAGGTCTCTCGTTTTGCGCGCTGCACTGGCAATCTAGCTGGTAGTACTGCGAAGAGTGGGGGGAATTGTAGTAGTAGTCTTGGTTATGATTGCGACCACGGCCACTACCATTCCAACCATTGTTATAACCGCGTCCGCGATTATTTTGATTGTTACCGCCTCGGTGGCCATTTCCACGACCACGAGGATTTTCGCTTTTCTTGTGCGCAGACGATCTACGTTTTTCCCCCCCTTTCTGCGACGAAGCGGAGCTTGAGGAGTTAGAAGAAGCAGAAGTGGAACGTTTGCGCGACCTATGAGAAGGCGAAGATTTGTTCGGAGTGATCAAAGCGCTTTTAGGTTTACTCGCATTGGGATTTTCTGTGTCGTTTATTTTTAATTTTTGTTTAAGAGACTCGAACTGTTTTTGATAAATGTCTATTTTATTTAACTTTTGTTCGGGCTCTGGTTTCGCTTTTTGTTTGTTTTTATTCGCTTGTTTTTGTTTTGTTTCTGTTTCGGTTTCTTTTTCGGTTGATTCGTCTGAAGAATTTTTAGATTGTGAGGTTTGCGAATCGATTGCATTTAATTGATTTCTATTGCGCTGGTTACGAGACCGTTTCGCGTCTTGTTCGCGCAATTTATTCGATTGTTGCATGAACTCGATTTTTTCTTGGTATTTGCGTATTTTATCTAAAAGTCCTTCATAAGAGGTGAAGCTGTCGCGATCGAAAAGAGAAATTAATTCGGAGTGTAGGCTTAGATAAATTTTGTCAAGCTGGATGTTTTCCGGAATTTTATTTCTCAATTTGTTATAAAGCGCGCCGATTTTTATAACAAAATCTATCCCTGTTTCATTTTCTAACTGAACTGCGCGGTGGATTTTGTTCAGAATTTGGTTGTCATCGTTAACATCACTAAATGTTTTTCGGAATGACGTGGAAAATTCTGTCCATGTTGTCCATTTGTAACGAAACATGTTAAACCATGAGAACGCGGTATCTGATAGAGTTTGGGAGAAAATTGGGAGCGCGTCATTTGGATTTATCGCTGAAGCCGTCATTTTCCTTTCGAATTCGTCGAGAAATTCGTTTGCGTCTTGTTTTCCCGGAAATTTGAGATCCCACGATTTGATAATTTTATGTAAGTTTGGAACTTGAGTTCGTTGCGCGATGGAGGCGTCGAGAACTGGGTTCAAGGGAAGGTCAATTAAATTGTGTTGATTTCTGTCATTTACGTTTTCGGGAGTTGGAAACATAAAATCTGGTTGTTCTGCGAAATGTAGTGTCCGATTTGCAGGAGGTCCTTGTCGCAAAGGTGTGAACGATAGTGGGGGGTGTATCGGCGCTATGACTGTGGTTGCGCTTTGCGTTGTAGTCGAGGTGTTACCCGTGAATGTGACCGTGTTTGTGGTTGTGGTGGGGGCTAAACTAACCTGTTGCGCGATGTGTTCGCCACTGTCGTCGAATTCCCAACGAGAATCGTGCCACGGGGATGGCGCATGTCTCGTTTGCATTTGTGACGTTTTTTTTGTAAGGTCCTGTATATTAGCTGACATTTCGGCACGAAGTTTTTCAATTGATTTAGTTGTTTCTTTTCTTAGCGCGGTTATTTCTAGTCGATTTTCGTTGTACGCGTCGAGTGTTTGTTGACGCGTATTTTCGAGATGTTTTTGGAATATTTGATGCATATCATTTTTGAATTTTTTATTTTCTTCCGCTTGGGCAATTGCGAGACTTTCTATTCGCGTGTAAAAATGATTTAATTGTGTGTTAGATACTGGGGTTTTTTGTGCTTTAGATTTATGAACGCGGCGATGAAGCGTTATTTTAGGAAGTGTTCCTGATGAAGATTGTGAAGGGTTGACTTTGTGAGTGTCTTTTAATGTGTTATTTTTAAAAATGTTCTACTCGTGAATTGGAGTTGTATTTGCGCTAGTTGATTCAGATTCTACGTCAGCGTTATTTATTGGGCTAAAATTTTCCGCTGGTGGAGGAGGTTTTTGATTTTGATTTTGTGAAAAAATAATTTCTAAATTTTCTTTAGTTGCGCTCCATGTTTCTTCTTGTGGAACGTGTGCGGTGTTAGTAACTGTTTCAGTACGCGCAGTGTTATTATCTAAATTTTCAGGGTTTACGGGGGTTGTTTTGTTTTCTTTGGGTGGTGTTCTCCACATTTTTTCGGAATCTCTGGGTGCGCTTGTTTGAGAACGTGTTTTTGGTTTTTGTTGTTGGTTCTTTTTAGGGCTTCTTCTTCCCATAATTAAAAAGGCATTCTCTTTTATTAGGAAAGAGAAAAAGAAAAATTTTTTTTTTATTTTATTTCATCGTTTTAATTGTTAATAAAAAAAAAATTTTTATTCTATTAATTTTATTTTTAATAAAATTTTATTTTATCAACTTAATTATTAATAAAACTTTATTTTGTTAATCTGATTTTTAATAACGTTATTTTACCAATTTAAAGGAAAATGAGAAAAAAAAATTTTCAATTTATTTTAATTTTGTTAATTAAAAAAATTAATTTATCCTTTAATACATTTTATTCCTTCTCTTAAATTAATCAAGTTGTAATTTCTTTTCTATATTCTCTCTCAGATTGCAAAAGGTTTTATTATATTTGAATTAAAATTTTATTTTGCTCAAGAAACAAGGGCAGCTACGAAGAAGTACGCAAAATTTGTAAATATTGTCGTATTTACTTTTGAAATACGCTGGAAATCTCGTTTTGTAGCACTTTAGGCTATAGTAGAAACAAGAATTTCAATTAAAAATTTTCACACATGATAGTCGAGAAAAAAGATTCTTACAAAAAATATTTAAAAATTTCATGTAATAAATAGAAAAGAAAAAGCGGTAAGCAGTTTTACAGTTCTAATTTCTTTTTAAGCGAAAGTATAAACATAATTAGAGTAATTTGTTCTAATCAAAATGTAAAAATAACTAAAAAAGGTTGTTTTTACCAGCGAAGTACAAAAATAATTGAAAAAAATTGTTTTACAAGCGAAATACGAAAGTAAATAATTATTTTCAAGCGAACTATAATGCGAAGCGAAGAAAAAAAAATAGGCAGAAAGCGATAAGCGATGGGAACAATTTTGTATAGTTTTAAATTATGCAAAATAGAAATAACGATAATTGATTTGAATAATTTATTTTGATCTATTTTGTAGAGTGAGATTGGTGCGAGCGAAAGCAGTGAGAGATCAGGGAAAATTGAGCATGCTTGATTTGATAGAATTTATTATAATAAATAAAATTTATAAAGTAAAATTAAGCATTGTCAAATAGCAATAAGTTAAGGAAATCTGGTTGGTTTCTTTAATAATATGACATTTAGCGCGAGAGAATAATTCGAAAAAAGATTGAATTATTTTCGAGAATAGCAGCTGACTGCTGTTCATGTGCGTAAAGGCATAAGGTTGTGTGAGTGTCAAGGCAGAGAGTGGTCTTGGCGTGACGTCACAATGGCGGCACATGTAAGAGAACTCTCGACGAAGCACGCACAAAGAAACGAATTTAGAAAAATTTGCTAAATTACACGTTGGGCGCCAAAAATGTGACAACCCATTCAAGAATTATTTTTAATATTATTTATTATTTAACGCGGGTAGGACTTGAACGGAATTGAAACAATATACCAACCAAAATGTCCTCGAACTTGGAAATTTTCCTTCTTTAGTTTCTCCAACGAGGCAAGCCAAGCAAAGTGAGAAATCGAACAAACTTACCAATATTTCCGTTAGAATAAACACTGCAACAACGTCGAGTAGTTATATCCAAATGAAAATGAAACGAGACACACAATTCACAATTTAGTTATAACAATTTATTAGTGATATAAGAACGAAGCGCAAAGACTTGTAAATACAATAAGTTTTACAATAATTTCGTGTGCCGTTCGCACCGGTTCGCACCAATCTGATTAGCATTCCGCCGCAAAAGCAACACGTGCTTTTGTCGTCTGCTAATCTTTGGTGACGGAGACGCCTGGTGGCTGAAGTTGGCGCTAACGCGCGAATATTCAAAATATTAATATAATTATTGTTCTAATAATAACGGTGATCCGGGTAATGGCAACGATATAAACAATAAAAATGATTATGATCGTTACAGTATAACGTCTGCTTGCTGTCGAAGTTTACGTATAGTCGGGGGACAAAAGCTTACTTTCCGCCCGCTATTCATGCACGAAAAGTCGAGTTTATCGCGCATGTAGGACGAAAATGACTTCTCGATCTCAGACAACGGAAATTTTTATTTTTTTGACTTTGACTTTTTTTATTTGACTTTGACCGGCATTCAATTTTTTTCGTTAGACATGTGGTTTTTTAGTGACAGTTTGTATTATTTTGACGTTTCTCGTATCGTGGAAGCAAATTTACAAGAGGTTTCAATCGACGCTCGGTGAAATTTGCTGCTACAACATGAAAAACGTTAAAATAATACGAACTGACACTAAAAAACCACATGTCTGACGAAAAATTCGTTAATTTAATTTGTTTATAAAATTAATAAATACTATTTTTTGAACAATATTTATGTACAGCTGTTAATAGTGACGTAATTCTAAAGCCATTAGAAAAGAAACAAATTTTGTTCTACTGTACATAAACAAGCGAGCTATTTATTTGTTAATTTAACTTAAATTAAAAGTTGTTTAAAATTATAAAAAAAAATTTTTTATTGTCGAAATATAGTTTTGTTTTTCATATGTTAATACTCATAAGATTTATGCAATACCGTGAAGAAATAAATTTTTGTTCCTAATGTATGAGAAGAAAAGCTATTAAAGTTATCATTTATTTGTTATTTGCATTAAAATAATAATGCATAATAAAAAATCGAAATTCTAAAAAGTGCTTCCTTAAGTTTCTTAAAAATTTATTTTTGAGTGTTTTAAAAAAAATTAGCGAGATTTCGACAAAACTTTTGGGCTGTTTACTTTTTTTAACAGTAAATTGCAGATTCAGACCATAGTTGCCACGCGGTAAACAAACGTGCCGCCCGGCAGAAAAAATTTAATAACTTTGCTCCTAATTACGGGACACTAAATTTTCAAACGTGTATGGAATCGTTATAAAATATCCTTTACGATAAAAATCGAACGAACTTTCTATGAAGTTAAGAACATTATTTATTTTATAAATAAACAATTAAATTTGCAATAACAATTATAAAAATTAATCAATTTATTTTTTTAATTATTTCATTTGAAACTATATCATTTTCTGAGTATAGGGTAGGGGAGGATGGGGCAAGGATATTTAGGTAAGACCTTTTCGGATCTAGCGGCCAAACTTGAATGTATCTGCAAACGAAAAGTATTTTTGGAAAGCCTGGTTATTTGGCTATAATTTTGCTATACATTATTTTACTGTAGACTCAAATCCCTACGAGATATGAATGAAAAAGTAAACAAAAATTTTTAACTATCCTTGCTCCAGCACCGGGGCAAGGATAGTCAAAAGAATCCGAATGCTAAAAATGTTATAGAAAATCAGTAAATTTTCGTTTTCTTTATTTTATTGAATTTAGACTATTCGATATTGATATCTCAAGTATAAAAAAAATGTATTGAACATTTTCTGAATTTCAATTATTGTATCAAAATTCATCTGAACTAGAATCAGAGGTTTAACCAATTTTCTTCAGACGACCACCAATTTCTTGGTCAATATGCTTTGTTTTCCCTATATAATTACGCACCATTATGTATATCAACCTAAAACAAACAATTAAACACTTTTTTAAAATTTGCAACGTCATTAACGTAAGCCCATATTTCAGTTTTTTCTAAATTTTATGGAACAACGTGAATTAATTTGAAAATAAACACGATATTCGTGTTGAGCAGGAATTTCCACTCCGGAAAACACTTAAGTAAATAAATATTCTGAAACTCTAATATAGAAAACAATATGATAAACATTACGTTGACATTTTAGCAAAACAAATTTTTTTCAAAAATAAACTCCTAACTTCGCAAATGGGGACAGATTGCCTTCCAATTTTTACTATCATCTTTTGGTGTCAAGACGTGAATATACCACGAATTACGCGATTTTTGAGCAAGCCGTCTAAGCATAACAGCAACTAACTATCCTTGCCCCTTAACTATCCTTGCCCCATCCTCCCCTAATGTCACCTTGAGTGGACCGCCTAAGCTTTTTTTCCAAAAAATTCTATATGAAAGCAAATTAATTAGAAGTTTCTATTTCAAGCTTTAGTTTAGATCCCTAGATAAGTGTTTATACCATAATAGCTTTGATTTTTTTTTTATTTGGAAGAAAAAATTGACTTTAAAAAAAGCTAATTTTTAAGGAATAAAAAAAGTGTAACCTTGAGTGGACCACTCCTAAAAAACTGCAAAAGTTATTCTAAATTCTTTAATGTATTTAATATTTCTGATATATTAATACAAAATTTATGCTTATGCAGCTTCAGGCCATGTGTGTGTCGCAATGTTTGCAAGTGAAACAATTTTTAATAATTTTGGCACATAGACATATCACATCAATATCACAAAAAAATAATTAATAAAGAACATAAAACATAGTTTCAAACCAATTTATTATCAATTTATATCTAAAAAATGGTAAACTGACATTAAAAATGGAAAAAACAGGCAGTCCACTCATGGTGACATGCAACTTTTCATGGCAGCCACCACAATTTTTTTGAGTCAAAATTATCACTTAATTAAACTAAGACAATCAATTCTAATGTTCAAAGTAGTAGGAAAAAAATAAGTAACCTTTTAAAACTTAAATTTTACACTACTTTTACACTTCTGAATCACTTTACTTATTGTAAGAGCGACCTTTTTTTGGTTTGTGATCTTAAAAACGCGTTACATTAAACGGTAACGTATATGTTTATCGCGGAACTTAATTTCTTACGGTTTCTAGGTACGGTGCTGCTATTCGTTTTATTTATTTCACGTTTCCGCTGTCAGATAACTTAAAAGTTCAGGCGGTCCACACAAGGTGACATTACCAAGACGCATGAATATTTCCCAAATGACAAGTAACCGAACTGCCATTTAACCGAAATGCATGTAACCGACCTGTCATGTAACAGAATTGTCACTTGACCGACCCGTCATGTAACAGAACTGTCATTTGACCGACCTGTCATTTGACCGACCCGTTATGTAACCGAATTGTCATTTAACTGACTCGTTATGTAACAGAATTGTCATTTAACCGACCTGTCATGTAACAGAATTGTCACTTGACCGACCCGCCAAGTAACAGAATTGTCATTTGACCGACCCGTCATTTAACCGACCTATCATATGGCCGACATGTCATGTAACAGAATTGTCATTTAACCGACCTGTCATTTGACCGACACGTCATGTAACCGAATTGTCATTTAACCGACATGTCATTTGACCGACTTGTCATGTAACCGACCTGTCATATGACCGATCCGTCATGTAACAGAATTGTCATTTAACCGACCTGTCATGAAACAGAATTGTCATTTGACCGACCCGCCATGTGACAGAATTGTCATTTGACCGACACGCCATGTAACAGAATTGTCATTTGACCGACCCCTCATGTAACAGAACTGTTTCGTAACAACCTATTTCTTTGAAATTTACAGTAATTCAAAGAAATTCATACCAACTTCTATGAAAAGGGTTGTTACAAGACAGTTCAGTTACATGACGGGTCGGTCAAATGACAGGTCGGTTAAATGACAATTCGGTTACATGACAGGTCGGTTAAATTGACAATTAGGTTACATGACGGGTCGATCAAATGACAATTCTGTTAAATGGCGTGTCGGTCAAATGACAATTCGGTTACATGACGTGTCGGTAAAATGACAATTCTGTTGCATGACAGGTCGGTTAAATGACAATTCTGTTACATGACGGGTCGGTCAAATGACAGGTCGGTTAAATGACAATTCGGTTACATGACAGGTCGGTTAAATGACGGGTCAGATAAATGACAATTCTGTTACATGACGAGTCGGTCAAATGACAATTCGGTTACATGACGGGTCGGTCAAATGACAATTATGTCACATGGCGGGTCGGTCAAATGACAATTCTGTTGCATGACTGGTCGGTTAAATGACGATTCTGTTACATGACGGGTCGGTCAAATGACAATTCTGTTACATGAAAGGTCGGTTACATGCATTTCGGTTAAATGACAGTTCGGTTACTTGTCATTTGGGAAATATTCATGCGTCTCCAAAAAATTTCAATCGTTTATAACTAAGTGAAATTTAATTTTTTTGAAAAATCCTTCTAGGCATGTAATTATCTTATAATTATGTTTTATTTTCATGTATTACCAAGTATCCTCTATTATATTAAGTTGAAGAACGACCGACCGACCGACCCTAGCCGTATATATATGTATATATATATATTTTAAAAACAATATTAACACATGTATAAATATTCACAAATCACGTATGCGCAGTAGTATTCTATCAATGTCAGGCATGCGCAGTAGTGTTGTGTCAATGTCACGCATGCGCAGTAGTGTTCTATCAATGTCACGCATGCGCAGTAGTGCTGTGTCAATGTCACGCATGCGCAGTAGTGCTGTGTCAATGTCACGCATGCGCAGTAGTGTTCTGTCAATGTTACGCATGCGCAGTAGTGTTCTGTCAATGTTACGCATGCGCAGTAATGTTCTGTCAATGTTACGCATGCGCAGTAATGTTCTGTCAATGTTACGCATGCGCAGTAGTGTTCTATCAATGTCAGGCATGCGCAGTAATGTTCTGTCAATGTTACGCATGCGCAGTAATGTTCTGTCAATGTTACGCATGCGCAGTAATGTTCTATCAATGTCAGGCATGCGCAGTAGTGTTCTGTTAATGTTACGTATGCGCAGTAGTGTTCTGTCAATGTTACGCATGCGCAGTAGTGTTCTATTAATATTAGGCATGCGCAGTAGTGTTCTATCAATGTTACGCATGCGCAATAGTGTTCTATCAAATCACACATGCGCAGTAGTGTTCTGTCAGTTTTACGCATGCGCAGTAGTGTTCTATCAATCCATTCTTCCACTCTATGATATTCAGTTGAAGAACGACCGACCGACATTACACAAAGTTATTTATTTTAAGTTCTAGTAAGGATAGAAAGTTAGTTAAGATCTTATTTCAAAGCTAATATTTTCTACTTTTATAATATCAAAATAATAAATTTGAAAAAAACATATTCTTCATTATTGTTTAAATGCAATTACCAATAAACAATTTTTTTAAATGTATGATAATTTAAAAACATATTTTTCTCATGTTTGTACGTCAT